AGAAAAAGAAGAAGAAAAAAGAAAAATTTGAAAAGTGGAAAAAAATAAAAATTAAAAATTAAAAATAAGATCAAAAAAATAATTTTGAAAATAACAAATAATAAATTAAAATGAAGGGCCTCCTTCAGGGTATGTCTCTGCTGTCACAACAGACAACATGGGTAGCAGTGTGCAGATATAAGTCAATGAATCTCAGCAAGCCAGTAGCGGACCAGTGAGTTTCAGGCAGATTTCTGGCTGCAAGTCCCAAGCTGAGCTCCCTGTCCTCCTGCAGGATTGAATGCTGCAAGGTTTTAGTGCAGGTTCCAGCTGCCCTTCCCCTGAAGATAGTCCAGGTTCTGATGGGAGGTGATGATCCCTCCTACTTACCAAGTATGGTGTTCTGGAGTGCCTTTATTGCAGATTCCCTTCACTTTTGTAGTGGGCTTCAATTTTCATCAAGGATCCTGAGAAAGGCCCTCTTTCTATTGTTCACTTCTGCTCTATCTTCTGGAGCTCAGGACAATGGCCTTTATGACTTCCTGTGCCTCTGTAGTGTGAAACCAGTTACCGGCACAGCCAGGAGGCCAGAGGCGCGGGTGTGGGTGTGCCTTAGCTTGTCATTGGGGAAGGGATGGAGCCCTGCTCCATGTGGCAGAGATCCTCACTGTCCGCTTGCTGGTCGCTGGGGGTTGGGGCATGGGCGGGACTGCAGCATCCATTTTAATCTCCTCCATCTCTTCAAGCTCACCACTCTATCACTGTTCTCATTTTGTGCCACTTCAGAGGCAAGAAGCCATTGCTCCTTTGTTCATCTGCTAATTTGTCCTGCAAATATGCATCCACGAGAAGGAGAGATCTGAGCATGGACATGAAGGCCCTGGGGGAGGCAGGCAGGTCCCAGGTGAAGGGACTCAGTGCAGAGGCACACACTTGGGACATATCCTGAAGGTGGAGGAATCACGGTGAGGAAGGTGGACAGCAAGGTGGAGTCACTGCAGCCAGATGGCAATGGGACTTGCAGGCTTTTGTAAAAATTCAGTTTTCACCCTGAGACAAATGGAGGTCATTGGGAAGGGTGGGGCTCAACAGAAGAATCAGTTAGGAATTCCCATGACAAGCTCTTCTACATTACTTTCCATTGCAGCTTCTGAAACGTTTCATAGACATTAGTCCTTTTATAGGCAGATCCACTTCCGTTTTGGATTGAAGTTGTTGCTGTACCATCAGGGGCTTTCCTTCATTAATTATTCTGTTGTGCCTGTACTTTTAACCTCTACCTCTATGAAGCTTGTGTCAGGAGCACAAAGCCACCCTGACCTTCTCAGTGTCATCTCTTTCTCTACTGGGTCTCCTTCTCTTCCCACTATATATTTAGAAAGACCTTTTTCTCTTTCTCGATCCACTTCCTCCTCTCCTTTTTCATTAAATCACTCATCCAGCCAATAAATCTTATAAGCACATACTATGCTAGGAACTATGTTGGAGAAACAGAAACAGAACATGTCATTCAGTAGGGAAAAGGATAGGTAAAGTCTATCTTTCTAAAAATCCCTGCAGGCTATATCCATTGATGCTTCTCAGGCTTCTCAGCTGTTTTTGTTTTGTTTACTTTGGCATAATTTGAGATTTGCAGAAAAGTTAGAAAAATAGTATGAAAACTTCCCAGATATCCTTCATCCAAAGTGTTCAACATTTTATTACATTAGCTTTATACTTGACACCCTCTATGTATTTGTATGAGTGTGAATATCTACACATGTATATCTTGCATTTTAGGGGAATCACCAACGTGATGTTCTTTTACTCATAAATACTTCAGTGTGTATTTCTTAAAATCAAGGAATTTCTTCACCACAGAAGAGTTATCAAAATCAAGAAAAACAAGGATGCAATACTGTTGTCCACATATACTTTCAAAACTTAATTATCTCTTTGTAGCACACAAAGGGTAATCTGTACTTTAAAATCATTACTTTTTAAAAATATAAATGTTATTTATAGACACTGTTAAAAAAAGTTTGGAAAAAAGATAAAAGCAAAAAGAATAAAATTCCAATTTTATTCCACCATCCAGAGAGTCACCATTAATTTTTGTACTTGCACATAGGCATGTAATCATATATATCAATGTTTTCTCTTAAAATGATTACACTAAAAATATCACTCTTCTGAAACCTGCCTTTTCACTTACGGAGTCATTAGCTTTTTTACGTAAATGTTTTATAAGTGCTGCGGATGAATCTGTCCTCCTCGCAGTGCTTCCTGGGAATTCTTCTGTGCTTTTACTTTCAGTTCAATTCTCACCCTTCTTCACTAATCATCTCATTTTCACAGCATCTGTGTGCATGCGTGTGTGTCCACACCTTTCCTGGGTTCTGTCTCCAGTCTTGTTACTGCCTGTTAACTAACTCCTTGTACACTTCCAATATTTCCCCTCCAAATCTTTCCTGAGCTCGAATCCCTAGTATACTTGACATCTTCAGGTGGATGATACCTCACACTCAACACGCCCACACCTGAGGTCACCATCTTTCCTTGCTGGTCATGGTCCTCTCACATTCGCTAACTCACACCTTTGCTTTCTGCCTGACTGACCCCCCTGTCCTATTGGTTATAACTATGAATTTTTCCTCATAATGACATTGAACACCTCACCTTTTCACACCCATTGCCAGTGTGTTTTCTGAGGTCTTCAATATTTCTTGCACAAATTAATAAAAGAAAACCTCTAACTTTTCTCTTGACTTCAGGTCACCCTCTTCTAATCTATCTAGCCCCAATGGTCATGATTCTGGATTATGAATATATGCATGCAAATTCTTTTGATAAATCCAATTACACTTAGGATAAAATGAGCTCCATGTGGGACACACAAGCCTCCTGTGACTCTGGCCTCTTTCCACAGCACACCCTTGCTGCTCACACCATACACACCAGGACTGCTGAACCATGAGCAGTTTTTCTGTGTTTCATGCCCTCCATGCCATGGTTCCCTCCCATGGAGGGTCCAATATTTCTCTCCCTGGTTCTACATGTGTTTTTTCCTACTCATTTTTTAAAACTGAGCACAGGCATCTATTCTAGAACATATTCCCTGACAAATCCACACTAGCCTGGTCTCCACTAGGCCCCTTCTTGGATGTTCTTGTGCTCCCCAACTGTTCCTCTGGCATTATCCAGATTGTGCTGCTTTGGTCACTGTTCATCCCATTAAGCCCTGAACTAGGATCCTAATAGCACCAATAACACTGCCTGGCATAAGTCAAATTCTAGTAAATGCTTCATGGGAGAACAAATGGCTATAATATACTTAAGTCACTGCCTCCATCTGGTATCAGTATCAAAGTTGTGCCTTTATATTTAATTTCATATCTATGTATAATTCTTTTTAGTTGTGGTGTATATTAAATAAATGACCCTAAGAGCTAGATTAAATTGACCAAATTAATGAAAGAATAACACTTATGCTTGAAAAGTCTTACAAATATAGCAGATAATACGAAAAGGACTAAACATTTCAGAATTATCTCTGATACAAATAGTTTTTGTTATTGGTACCGGGAATTGAGCTCAGATCCCTCCGCTTGTGAGGCAGGGGGCGGAACCACTGAGCTAAATCCCCAGTCCCTGATTCAAATAATTTTTAAATGAAACAGTCCAGGCTGGGTAACTTGTCAAATGTATAATCAGGTTCTTATAGTTACTTCAGTATCATTATCACTTTCTTATCAGTAATTTCACTATGACAGATGTGAAATTTGGATCTTTTGGAGACAGATTTTGCTAATGTCAAAAAGATAAACTAATTTAAAAATTCAATGCCGCTTCACAGAGACTATTTAATTTAGATCTATAGTTTACATGAGAATTATTTAGACAATGGCTTGGTAACTCTTGGGAGGTATAAAAAACTAAATTTTATCTACCCAAATTTGCATGACTGAAAAATGATACAAGTGAAAGAAAAGGAGAAGTCATTAGAATAATAAACATAATGTAGTAAAGAAAAACAAAAGCCCTTTCATCACCAACATTTTCAGCAAGTGTTTCATCACACTAAATAAAAATATCAATTGTTCACATGTGATTCTGAACAAATCTATATCTCATATGTACATATATATTCAACACATACATATATATACACATGTAAAAAACTAGGATATATGATATTTAATATTAATGTAAAAATGTAAGATTTATTCCTTACCTGAACCTGAGAAATTGTCCACAGACCCGTCCGTTGTTGTTGAAGCTATTTCACTGCTGCTCATTGGCTCTGTTTTAACTATGAAAATAAAAATATATCAAATAGTTATTGGTAAAGGCAAGGTAGGGAAATACAGCATTAAAAAGTGACAAGAAATCCATATTAAAAAACAATCTTCCCACTTGAGCATAAATCAGATTAATATTCCTAATAGAATCTTTTCTGAAAAAGCATCCATGTTTTTTCTCCCTAAGAAAGCAATCTATTACTAAAAAGCAACACTTTCAATGGAAACTAATTGTTACCTTATATATTCACTGAATTTCTTATTAATGTCACAGCTCAAAATATACATAAGATGATGTGAAATTATTTCTTGAAATTTGTAGAAAAATCTGTTATTTGGCCAAACAGTGAAAAGGATAGAGCAAAAAGAGAAAAAATTGGCATTCCTTCACATCAACAGGTTTTCATGATGCTTATGGGCAAGTGCCTGCATACCACACACACACACACACACACACACACACACACACATTCTCAGTATGGCTCAAAAATAGTCTTCAATTTAATGGATTATTATCATTAAGCCATATATGACTGCCAATTCATCAATATTTTATGTACGTTTAGTACCAAAAACACACTAATAAGCAGAAACAGTTTTCTACTTCAAAATAATACTAATACTAGTTTGTGGAATATATATTTATATATACATACACGATCTTTAATAAAATCCCTTTGGATTTAGCGATAACCTTTTGGCTGGACTGTGTATGATGGTACATACCTGTAATCCCAGCACTCAGTGGGCTAAGGTAAGAGGATTGTGAGGTCATGAACATCCTGGCCTACACCATGATTTTGAGGCCAGACTAAACTACATATTGTCTACAGGTTGTCTCTAAAATAAAACAAAAGAAACAAACCTACAAAACAAAACAAAAAAGTACAGCTTTTTGATTTATGCTCCAGATTCTCCCCAGCAACCTACTCCTTACTGTACTCTTACCAGAGATGATCCAAACCATCTCAGAACATCTATCTTTTTTCTTCCTAGTGTTAGAATTTTTTTAAATGAAGAACTATTACTATTATTTGCCTACAAACTGGTGATGAAGGGCCAACACGGGAATCTGCCTAGCCTACTTTGTTGAAGTTAATCAGGTCCTACTACCAGGTTTTGAGAAAGAATGCAATAATATTTTAAGACAACCATAATGTGTTTCCTGAAACGAATGCTCTAACAAGTGACTACTCGGAGATCCTTCTCTCACAAAGTCAACACCTTCTGAAAGAAAAGAAGGTGATGGAAAACATACAGCTCTTCTTCTCTCCATGTGGCAAATCTCTTAGAAATACTAGGCGGAGGACAAATTCATGCAACTCCTGGGTTTCCAAGTATTTCACCAATGCATAATGAGTACTTTTAAAATAAACATCATAAATAGATGTATCAGATAGTCACTTTAAAAAAATCATTTAGATGGTTTTTAAACAAGTTGGGGGAAATGATCAGCGAGACTAATGGAAATCACTCTCCCATGTTGTTTTCATGTAGACCATACAACAGTGAGACTGAAGTTGTAATTGAAGATTTTACTTTTCTGCCAGTTGTTCTGGGTTAGAAGTTTTAGTTGATGCTAATGAATTCTGACATAAGCCTATATTTCCCTTTTCACTCCATGCCACCAGGCAACCTAATGATCTCACTCTTCATAGCCATTATACTGCTATAGCTCTTTGAAAACTATTACATTAGTGCAGCTTTTAAGTTTCCTACTCAGTTTTCCACATCACACCTTATCTCCCTTAAAAACAACTTATATAATGTCCTGTACCTACAAGGCAATGGTTCTATTTCACTCTTTTGCTACACAGATCACCACTGGAATTCTGAACTCAGAATCAAATGCCCCATTTTGAGCAAAAGATTAGAATTTGGTCCACTAGACACAGGTCATGTTAAGTATCTACTAGATGCCACATACTTTATAGACATTATAATTAATGCTCTTAGACAACTCTCCAAGTAGATCTCAGAATACTATACTCACAAACTCCCTGTTCAGGTATTGTCTTCTTGTTTCACATGCAAAAATTGAAACTAGAGAGATAGAAAGTTGCTCAAAGTCACAAAGTGACAGAAATGAGATTTAATCTTGGAATTTTTAAATCCAAAACTCCATGACCAAAAGTTGAAGAAATGGTAATAAATGGCACTTTTCATAGTTAGAACTACTTTATAACAGAGCAAGGGAGCTGAGAACATTATCACACAGTGATAAAACCTACACAGTCCCTGCCCTGCAAGATTCTCAGTGTCCAGTCTCCTGAACCTGGTAGAAGATCTCATGCCAGAATTTCACACTCAGTTGTCAGGAAAAGAAGAAGAAATTCTCCCACTGCATACACTTTGGTCCAAGACTTCTAAGTCTTTGCCCAATCTAAGGTATTCTGTAGACTGAACTCTATAGTGACTTTCCCAAAGCTTACCTATAACAAAACCACTGTGTTCCTGAGCCCTAAAATCTGCACCAGCTCTCTTCCATATGATTAGTTAATCAAATGTAACTCTCACTCTCAACAGGAACATTCATTTATACTTGAAACCCATTAAAGCTAGGCAAAAAGAATAGAAAGGAAGGGAAGATGATACTTTTTCTTTTAGGTCGCAAGTTCATTGCTTTTTGCCATTGTTCAAACATACCCATCCATACACTAAGGAATAAAGATTCCCAATGAATTCAGTTTTTAAAAAGACTCACTGTTGTGGAGAAGAGGATGTACATAAAGTAACTACCAGGATATTCATGATTGTATCAAGTACTGTAATTGAATACTTTGATCACCAGGGGTCTGATACTAAAAAAGACTAAGGATTTATTGTGATGTAAAATAGTTTCTGAATGAAAGCCAAAGGAATAGAGACTACTTCTGACTTTGTTGTTGCCAAGCACGCATCCACTGGAGAGTTAAAAAGACAAGCATAATCTCTGGTCACCAAAATTCTACCCATTCTTTCTCCAGCAGGATGATCATATTTATCAATAGGCCACAGAGGACATAACAGAGCACCTCTCCAAGGCTTTGAATTTACAAACACCACATGCTAAAGTTTTGCTAAGTCTCACATATTTAAGGTACTGTAACATCTGAGATCTTTTCCATCTAAGCTTCATCTGTCTCAAAAGCAAAACCTATGAATCATCTGTTCATAAGATTTATAAATAACTAGGATTGCCTCCACCATGCTTTTTTCTTTGTTTCATAACCTCAGTCTACTAGAAAATAGCATTTTTGTTCTCTCTTGTTTCTAATCAAATGTGTGTCTTTTTTTCACCACTTGAAGTTTCCAGTCTTCCATCTGATCTTTAAGGACCTACTCAGACTCATCCTTTAAAAAATTCAGATTTTCCCTTTTGTCTTTCTAAATCTCCCTCTTCCCTCCTAATCCTTTCCTAGGCGTTCACTCCAGGCCTAAACTATGCGAGGCAACTGCTACTTCTCCAGATACAACACGAACTTTCACCCATCGATGCCTTCAAGGTTGGTTTTGAAGTTAGAGAAACAGACGTTCTAAAACTTAATTTGATTTTTGATCTTAATTATCTCATATAAAACATTTAAAATTTTGTATTTACATTACAGGAATGCAATAAAGTTCCATAAAAATTCATGTAAAGTAGCTTGTATAAAGGTGTTGACATTACATTTATCACCTTCACTAACACTATCGTTAGCGATATTCTAATCCCTTGGACTGAATGTACTTCTCCTTCATCCTGGGTAATAATACCAGGGAGTAATATCAAATAAAAAGTTAAAAGTACCAGCTTTGGAATTATCAATTTCATTTCAATCTAGCTTTCCAGTATGAACCTGGAAAAAGTTACTTAGCTTCTGTGTGCCTCAGTATCTTCATCTGTTAGTGGGGATTATATACAAAATATACTGATGTGAGGATAACAAACGAGAAATGATATTAAAACCCTTAGCACTGTGCTAGGTCCAGAAATCATGCTTTTATAGTCACTCTATCATTAAAGTATCTCCTTGATTATAAGAAGACAAAGCATTTCTTTTTTTGTTTTTCTTTTCCCCCAGTGTTGGGGGTTGAACCCAGGGCCTCATTCATGCCAGGCACTCTACTACCAAGCACCCTACTACTAAGCTATATCCCCAGCTCCAAAAGCATTTCTTAAAATACAGATGCTTGGATCAAAATCTATCATAAGCTTTAAATTTAAGCTTATCCTTTGAAAAGAAAATGAGAAGAATCTAAAGTAAAGTGACTTGTTTAAGATCAACCACGAGGTTATGCCTCAGGATAGTCAAAATCAAATCAAGGTAATGTGGAAATAACTCAAGAAGAAAACTGATACTTTGGTCATTAGAATCAGTGTGTGTTTTTGCCGAAGAAAGGCTAGCAGAAGGATGGTGCACATGGCACTTGTGACCAAGAATTCCAGGAAAAATACAGCTATCTCCCTTTAACTCTCCTTGAGGTAAGCAGATTCATGAAAATGAGAAGCTCATCATCCTTCACCATAAATTCCAGTGGAGATTTATCTAAAGACCATTGCACTTTGGTGATATCAGCTAGGAAGATCATCCAACTAATCCACGCAACTTCCAGTTAAACTTTGAATGTTGCAGGTAAATAGATCTCCAAGATGAGAGGACACTCACAGGAAATCACCATTTAGTACATTTGATCAAATATATGTCTAACCACAAATTCAAAAGGCAGTTAGAGAAAGTTCAGTCCCAACGAACAGCTCTGCCTCTTGCACTGAGAGCCAGCCTGTGCTATGAAGAATACGCTAAAGGACACACAGGGCAGGCAGCAACCTCGGTTGCAAGCTCATCCTCACAACTTTCCTCAAATGCTAATAGTACAGCTTGTTTTCTATGTGGTACAAGCTCAGTCTTCCATTCAATGTCGTTTCCTGCTAGAACACTGAGGGGCTTCAAAACTCAGCTGGGTATCTTTACTACCACCCTGATTCCTTCATCTCTTCTGGTGCCTCAGTGAGACTTGCTTTCATTCAGTTTTTTATTAAATGGCTCTG